AACTTTACTAATTAAAGAGTTTGAAATTCTTGGGGCACTACCATTTAAGGCTAAACAAAGTTGAAAACCTGTTTTTCTGCTCGTCAAAGTCCTTCCTCCCTGATTCTCATCTCCTTTCTGGGGATCAGTCTTTTCTTAGCATGATTTAAAGAAGAAAATATGACCTGTCTTTAAGATAAATCTTACTCTACACACTAGGACCATATCCCAACTGCCGAGGCCACAAACCTGTGAAATCACACTCATTTAATGAAGCCACATCTAGGACATCGGCACCCAGGCCTGGTGGAACTTTGCCCGCTGGGGTTCGTTTTCTTACAATCTCTCTACCTGAGAAGGAAGAGCAGTGCTACATATGTTGTCTCCAGTGCTTTCTCTTCATTCCTTGCTTCTAACTAATGACTCTACTTTGCAAGTGTTTGAGAACTACCCATAGTTCATCATATCTACTACCGTACGAGAACACACTTTCCCCAAAGAAGTCGCAATATCTATAGAACCATAACTCTTTTAAAACAATCGCACAGCAATTTGAATTTCCTCCACAGCTGGATTTTTGGATTAAAGTATCCGCAATCAGGATATTCTAGTTTCTCTCAAGATAATGGGTCATATTTGCTTCACATATATGTAAAGAAACGATTGATTTTTGCACTTTTCACAAAATGAAGGAATGCTATTTCTTACATTTGAATTTGTGTCCACTTCTTGCTAAACTGAGATAATATATGGTTGTTAAATATTTCTTTCTGCTCCAGGTACCACTCAACATGGTTCAAAAATTTCAAGGTTGTTAGAGCCAGGTCACTCTTTGCTATTTACAAAATAAATTCTGAATTCTAACGGTGAGGAGGCAAAACTGATGAGCATATTAAAAATTGAGTTCTATGTGGCAATACATTAAGTTACCAATTACAACTCTGAACTGTAGACTTTTAAGTTACTGTTTGCATTTACAGTCTTTGCATATTTAAGGTAGAAGAAATATAAATAAAAATATTAGCTTAGATCGTTCATTCTTTACATGTTTTTATTTAGACACTGTAGATAGAAAGATGAATAAGATATTCTTAAGAGTTGATGGGTGGAGAGTCGTGTAAATAAAGAAGCATAGCTGAAAGATGTCTACAGAGTGGGAATGGTGGCTAATAGCAGCATTTTACTCATCAAGTACAGAGGTTATGCTGAGTGTACCCAGGTGACAGCTGATCATTTAACCTGGAACGAAAGGTTAAAGGTCATAATAAATTAATTGAGGCAACGTTTTTAAGTGAAATATAAATTTTTAAATATAACTGAGTCCTTTTACAATTATCAACAGTTTTGGTTTTCATTAAACATTAAGTGCCTCTTTGGCACACTCTTTCTTAATTCTCCACTGACTTTTCCTGTCACCCGTTACGCATTACACTTCCCCCAACTACCTACCTTTTGTGCCCTGTAAAATGAAACTCATCTTAATTTTAGCATGAATAAAACATAATAAGCAGGATGAATCAGACACCAGAAGCTCACATAATATATTCCAGGAACAAATTAAAGTGACATTTGTTTAATAAACTCCTTTAATATCCATGAACTGGCTTGTCTTCATTGAAAGGAAATATTCAAAGCCACTGTGATTGAACTAAAAAGTCAGAGTAATGCTTTCAGACTCTCCCAATTTACTCTTGATTAATGACTAAGGTATTAGGTTTCATTTCTTCTCAATTCCAATAAAAATTAACTTTTTAGTTTCTGCTAATGCCTTTTCATAAAATGTAAAATACTGATTACTAATGATTTTCTTCTGTGTTGTGAAATTTTTAAAAAATAAGATTTAATTTTCCCAGTAATAAGCACAGTTTTAAAACTTTTTTCCATATAAGTTTATCATTCAGAATTTCAGAACTTGCTATAATTGCCACAAAAAAGTCTCGATGTCACCTCCTCTGAAAACTATTTTAGGCCGAATAGATGGGCCAAACTGAGTCACAAACAGTAACTGTGTCTTGTAGCTCTACGTGCTGTTATGCCGAGTTTCTGTTGCGCCACAGTGGTGTCTAGAAGAGGAGAAATTTTCCTTCCTCTCACGTTCCGTTTATTAGGAGGGCTCCATGTTGCAGATGAACTCCTAATGTTAAGTTAGTCACATTCTTTGAATTCACTTGCTGTGAAGTCATATGATATTGCTATGTCATATTTTTTGCTATTTCCGCAGTACACACCCTGCCAGTAGGATGCACGGACTAGAAGGGATTGTAGTGTCAGTTGTTCTGCATGTATCGAACTAAAATTTCTTCTCCATCCAGCTTTTGTGGCAGAGAATTCATTAACAAATTTATTCTTTTCCAATTCCTACAGTCAATTCCCTAAGACACCTTATTGTCCTTTGCTCCTATTTGGACCTGGTCAAGTATCATAGCCTATGTCATCAGGTAAGTTATAATACCTGTAACCCATAGAGACATAACAGGTCGTGAGCCCAGTGGCCCTTTCCTCCCTATGTAAATTTGTGGGCACAAACAGAAATGTGCTTTTACTGAACACATCATAATCCTGTATGTTCTACAAATGTTTTTACTTATTCAGGAAATTATTGAAGTTTTTGTGGCCTAACACAGCAGTAATTTTCATAATTATGCTATGAATACTTAGGAAATACAGATCCTATGAAGTGTAGATTTTACTATAGAGCTACTTGGCCTTTCTTCCTGATGTTATTATTACAGGATCATTTCTACTTTATTTACAGGACTTTTTACTTTGTCAGAGGGTGATTTCAAGTCTCTCTATATGGTCATGCTTATTTCACTTTGTATTTCTTGAATTTGTCCAAATTTTATGTATTTCTACAGTATCTTATTCGGGACATAAAGATTTCTAAATATTATATATTTATTATGTTATATCTTTCAATATTAAGATGTCCTAACTAACTCTGATACTGCAATTTTAATTCCTACTTCCTTCTCCTGTTTCTTTCCCAGGTTGTATTTTTTTCTATCATCTTACTTTCTGTTTTAGGTACTCTTACTGGGTCTATAGTATATACTTTCTGTGTGTTGTGTGTGCTTTTGTGTTTTCATAACACACTTTAATGATCTGTTTTTCATGTTTTCCCCCAATTTTTGGTTGTAATAGGTGTTTTTTCAATTTCTGACATATGAAGGTTTTTTCCCCTATTTTTAATAGTTTCTATTTTATTTGACCCCATGTTTGTCATAGTTTTATTGCTATGTCATATTTTTTGCTATTTCCCAGTAATTTTAAAGGATTCTATGATTTTAAATATAATTTTAAATAGTTTTACACTTTTCAATCATATGTTTAAATGCACATTTCTCGATTTCATCATACAAATGATCATTATTTGTAAAGTGAAGAAAGCTTATACATATACCTCTTCTTTGCCCCTTAATTGGGGGTAAATATACACTGAAGTCTTGACCACAGATTATTGAGCCTGTCAACTTATATCCCGTTTTATACCTCTAAGTATAATTTTTATTTTAAAAAAGGACTTAATTCTATTTACCAATACAATATTAACGTCAGTACTTTCATCCTAACACATTTGTTGTGAGTTATTTATTTTGTTCTATCAAAATAAAGTCATCTTCCAGTGGACACTTTGAGGGAGAGGGATACATGTGTAATAGGCTTCCTGATTTTTATTTTTATTAGAAAATGTTTTTCCAGGATCTGGGAATATATAAATGTCAACTGCACTTGGCATAGAATATTTTGTTCTCATATTAAGACTTTGTCAACATCTTTTCATTTGTCTTTTGATATCAAGTATTCTGAAATGAAGCCTAATAAACAATTACTTTGACAAATTTTAAGAAATTTATTAAGCATCGAAGTTTAAGAGAGAATCTTAAAAGCATCTCGGGAGAAGCATGAGGTCACTAACAAAGGTTTCCACATCCAACTTTTGCTTTCTCATGTCTCCAGGTGAATAGTATTTGGTCATTATCTTTGGATTTACATGAGGTTATCTTATTTCCTTGTTTCTTCTAAAGTTGTTTCTTGATTTGGTGAATATTTAGTGCTGCCACTCAGGGGAAGATAATCTGTAAATAGGAAATACCACCACATTCTCAAGAATTGTATTTTCTCCTTTAATAATGGATTGCTAGTTACAAATACAATAAAATAATCAAAAAGAGATAACAACTTAATTAACCTAATTACAGACAAAATAGATCTGCCTGCATCAAGAGTCTTAAAAATAGTACTTCATTGGATTAACATTCAGCTAATTTGAGCATTTAAGTTTTTTAGATGGGCCCATGGTCTAAGGATTTATCTGTGTGTTACATTTATTACCTAAATATTTAATGGCAACTCCAGGAATATAACAAGGTTTTCCCATTATCGCCCCAGATTTTTATCTATCACTTTATATTGTTCTCAAATATATTTCTGAGCTAATATGGCTGGTAGAAGAAAACAGCCCCTCTGTTTCAGTTATGACCTGAAGACAATTGCAACATGATTACATTGGCCTCTGTGATATATTGTCTTGTACGTCCTTTATGGATGAAGGACTTGTTTTCCTAGCTGGTGGGAGAACTGTGGCAGAGAGCCCTTAGCTGTCAGCCTTCTATGGGAAATTTCTTGGTTGTAAGAGACCCGCCTCATTCCCATGGTCATGTTCCTTCACAGGGAAGCCTTTACACCGTGACTGGCTATGTGTGCGGTACAGAAGCCCACCCTCCATGTCCCAATCCAGACACCTCTGAAGAACTCTGGAAGTTTGGTGGAAGAATGTGTTGAGATTGCATCACAGCTCATCTTCCTCTGCCCACTACTGCTTCCTTTTAATCCCAAGGGTATTTCTTAATACACTTTCAGCATATAAATTTGCATTTTAGGTTATTGGAAAACCCAAACCAACATGGGATAAGGAATAAAGAACAACCCCCTTTTGTACTAATATAGCTGGACGTATTTTTATTATATAACCTGAATATATTTTCACTTTCAGAATAAGAGTACAAGAGTAAGGGAACATGCCTGCAGTTCCCCAAGGTTTATTTGATGTTATCTTATATAAGGTTCATTATGCAGTCAGTAAGCTGTTGTACTCGATCCCGTGCCAAGTGCTGGGAATTAAGGGATGAGGACAAAGGAATAGAAACTTGGCCTATTGAGATATTATTCAAAAGGTTCCCCTCAATATAAATTAGTAATCATATAAAGAGATAATATATTGATATATTATAATAAATAACATTAAGAAAAATCAGACTGAGGATTTTTAAAAGAGGTTGAAGATGAAATGAGATAAGGTGGGATCAAGAAAGGCCACTTTGAGGAAATTAAGCTCAGGCCTGAATGAGGAGATGATGACAGGAGAATTCCAGGCAACCAAAAGAACACATGGCAAGGCCTTCTCACAGGAGAAAGGTTAGTGTATGTGAATAATAGAAGTCCACAGTGGCTGGAGCATAATAAGTGAGGGATGTATGACATGAGGTTATAGATACATTTAGAGTTAGGGGGTCAGAATACGGGTGTGAGCTTTCTTGCAGAAGTATTGGGAAGCTTCTGGAAGATTTATCTAGGGCAGTGACCTGATGTAACTCCTTTCCTGTTTTTCTTTTTCTTCTTTTGGTGATTATTCTCTTTGCTTTCTAGAGAACAGATGGTAGAAGGCGGGAAGTGGAAATATGCAGATACATTAGGGACCCATCAAAATATTGAATGTATGGGTTTGACTGTGGTTTGACCTAGAGTGGTTATTACAGAGAACGAGTAGAATGGACGCATTAGAGCTATTTCTCCAGTTTGAAATGGTTGAGCTACAGACTGGATACAGGTAGGAAGATGGTAGAGGAAGGGGTGACACCAAGTATACTTCGAGCTTGGTGTTGACAAACAGGGCGCACGGGAGAGTCGTTTATGAGAAAGCTTCGGGAGAACAAGGAGACTCTGAAATTATTTGGAAAGGTCAGAGACTGTCTTCTGAATCTTGTGGTAGAAACAGGAAGGATTCTATTGTATACAGAAACAGGAAGAAGAATCCAAATGCAACTTTTTTGACCAGCTTTACAGAGTTCAGCCAAACAAGCCATACGCAGTTGAACCTCATGTTAGAGATGAGCAAACTGAACTTCAGGACCCATAAACAACCTGTCAAAATCATCTGACTAGCCAGAAGAATATTTTGCCCATTATGTGATACTTTATTTAAATAGTTATAATTATTTTATATATTTTATTTTCTTGATTTTATTTTCAGTCACAAATAACACTATTACAGTTTATCTCTATTTTTTACTTTTCTTATTTTATCATAATTTCAAGTAAAAATCAATCAAAAAATTATATTGAAATGGAAATACTGAATTTCATACTAAAGACAAGGCATCCAAATGAAAATGAAATTTTCCAGGTGAAAATTTCCAAATCATAAATATGTAGGGACAAAACGCTGTATTTATGAAGAAAGATACAAGATAATTCTAATTAATTGATGACTCAAAGGTTTCCAACTTTAAAAGTAAATATTGTCTTTGAAGTAAAGTCCATTTAAATTATTTATGCAGCCGGTTTTAGTAATTCTATATGCACATCATGTAAACTTTTCTGAGAAAAATTGAATTGGAAATGTTAGAGTACTGAGTGGAGAAAAAATTGTCCCCTTATGAAGGATCACTTTAGCCACTTTGGCAGGCGTCGGTAAAAGAACGTTAAAAGCAGATGTGTACTTAGAAATAGCTTATCATTGAAAAGAGAATTGCATCACCACCTTTGCAGGCCCTCTCCTTTTCCTTCATATTTGTGTAACTTTGCCATCTATAGAAAGATTATGGGAATTTCGAAAGTCGCTGATAGTTAAGGAACATCCCCATAACACTTTGCTGAACCCATAATAAAACATTTCCCTTCTGTCTCAAAGCCTTTTAAAATTACCTACCATAATCGGTATAGCTAGAAGAGGGTACGTTCTGTGTTCAAGTTCTCCTGTTTCGTGAGGTTGAGAATTCTTTTATAGTCTTCTGAGGATGACACTGTACTGTGCTTTTAGCCTTACTGTTTTCACCTATTCTTTCCATTCCTTACCTTTGTATATTTACATTTTATATATTGAAATGTTATTTTTTCAAATACTTTATATGCAAGTTTACAAAGTACAATGACCATACGTACATTAAAATGACTTATTTATACCATATGGAGTTTAAATATAATTTTACAATATCTAGTATTGATTGTTTCATTTCTAATCATTGATACTTTACATGATTTTTCCCAGCATACCTCAAAATACTCTTCAAAATTCTACTAATTAATTTCTGTAACACTTCTGAGGTGTATTAATAAGCTAGAGATGTAAATAAGATTTGCAGAGAAAATTAGGTTCCTAAGTTAGAAATTTTGTCCCACTATTGACTAGAAAGCTATTGAAATGATAAAAAACAGTAGCACATGTCATAGAAGAGGACCAATAAGCCTGCTGCAGCATGACTGCCTGTGTGACCTCAGACAAGTCACGTGGGTCCGCACTTCATTCTCTTCACTCTGATAAGAAATATTTGACAAATCTCATTTTCAAAAGGCCTTTAAGGCCTTTCCACTTTTTTTTTTTTTTTGAGGTGGAGTTTCGCTCTTGTTACCCGGGCTGGACTGCAACGGGTGGTCTTGGCTCATGCAACCTCCGACTCCCGGGTTCAATTGATTCTCCTGCCTCTGCCTCCTGAGTAGCTGGGATTACAGGCACACACCACAACGCCCAGCTAATTTTTTGTATTTTTAGTAGAAATGAGTTTTCACCATGTTGGCCAGGCTGGTCTCAAACTCACGACCTCAGGTGATCCACCTGCCTCAGCCTCCCAAAGTGCTGAGATTACAGGCGTGAGCCACCGCGGCCAGTGAGGGCTTTCTACTTTTAAGATTTCAGGATGTATAACCTGGGATGCAAATGGCAGTATGTGTGTGTGTATATATACGGATATATATACATAAACACACACACATATATACATATATGTACGTATATACACACATATACACATATATACATACACATACACACATATATACATATATATACGTATACACACACACATACATGAGACAGAGAGAGAGAGGAGATAGAGAATTTCATGTGAAAATATAAACTGTTAACATAAAATTTTGCTTCTCTGAGGAATATTTAGCATTGTTCTCAATCTTCTCCGGAGAATTTAAGCATTTTTCTCAGAAGTCACCAGATAGAATGAGGGAGGGGCCATGTGACAGGAGCCAGAGATGAAGAGAGAGCAATACAAAGTGTGCTTTGGGAAAAATCGTACAAGGCTGGGGAATACTTCTCTCCAACAAAAAGACCAAGGTCACAGCTATATCTCTTCAGAAGCCAATCTTTCTTTTAAAATGTCAATTTCCATCTATTTCTTGCTTCACAGACATCCCATTCATTGCTGGATTTAAAATAAAGCCTTTCCATGTTCACTCTTTCTATAGAAAAAGAGAAATATGGGGGACAGTACAGTCTAAGAAGTGATTAAGAGTATCTAGTGGACTTTCCTGGACTGTAAATCTTTACACATCTCTTAGCCTAATGAGGTGATTTATTGTGCTATAATGCACAGTGAATTATACAGACGCTTCTTTTTGATCATACTGCAGAATGGAACTAAATACTAAATACCAAATAGCACTCCCATGATTCTTATAGATGTCATTCATATGGCATATTTATGCTTTTTTATATAGCAATTCTTATTCTTAGCTCTTAAGCCATTATGGAATCTTTTTTTGTCATTTTAATAATCATGTTCCACTTGAGTTATGCAAGGTAGAATTTCTAAGTAGAAAGTCTTGTTTTATTGAATGCTTTTCAGTAAATATTTTGGAAAAGATCTCCGTTTCTTGATACTACTTCTGCACACTTTCTCAACATATTACTTGGTATTGCCCTTATTAACCTGTAGTACACCGTATTCTGAAAATATTAGGCTTAAAAATCAGTCACGTATAAATAAAGCTAATGAAATAGAAAGGAAACCACATTCAGGAAATGGAAGGTAGAAGCAAATGTATTAACCATAAGTTAGAAAGAGTTTGGTCTTTGGAATGAAGCAACAAGAGTTTAAAAATCTTGTCTGTGATTCACTAGCTTTGTTACCTTGGAAAATTACTTATGATTTCTGAGTATCAGTTTAGTAGGTGATATCAACTGCAACTTCACAGAATTATACCAAGTATTAAATAAAGGACTTAGTATCTGGGAGAACATATAAAATTATTAATAGTTACATTTTTTTAATATTACCATTATTATTATCATCATACTTATAGTATTTTCTTTCACTGACAATGCACTCAGGACATAAGGAGAACTATAAAACGGTGCTTCTCCAACTTAAATGCATAGCGTGAATCACCTGGAGTTTTGTCAAAATGCAAATTCTGACTCAGTAGTCCTGCAAACTACGGAACTCTTGGAAATGCTGGTGGTGCTAGTTCACCGAAAGACCACACGTTTTGCAACAGCTATATAGAATGTCCTGTTTCTCTTTCTAATCACAAAACATGGCAAACTCTAAAATAAAGCAGAATAACAGATTTAAATATTAATACTCATGTCTTCACAATTTATAATTTCTTCCTCCCTAACAAAGGCATAATTCTGAGTAAAAATTAGCAAAAAAATTGAAATTAATCTTCCTATGTTTATTTCTTTAACAAATTCTGGGTGATTACTACTGGGTTACTTGCTGTAGGAAATAGAAAAATTGCTTTGACATAGATCCTTAAGAATTTGTCCCACTACAAGCTTATTTTTGTAGGAAGCTGAAAGATTTATATAAATAACCATAATTAAAGAGACAAACTAAGAAGTGCAATAAAAGACCTAGGCAAAGTGCTGGAGTAGTTCGAGGTGGAGTAAAATTATCCTAAAATAATACCTGCATGTAACGTTACACTATCTTCCCTAACCAGCACGTGAGAAAACTGTCACAGCGAACTTTGGCGCTTTCTTATATCTTGGTTTTGGTTGCCACATCCTTCTATTTTGGGAAGTTCTCGGTTTCCTCATGTAATAATAACAACACTTAAACAGTGCATACTAGATAAAAGGAATGATATTGCTTGCTTTATTTACATAGTGTAGTTAATTTAATTTGTACAATGAACTATGAAGTAATCAGCATTATTTCCTTCACTTCACGTATGAGAAAATGGAGAATCAGCGACACTAAATCATCTCAAGTTTCTAAATTATCCAGTCTCACCAGGCTGTTTACCCGCTGTTTCTGTCTATGTGCTGCTATAACAAAATGCCACAGATTGGGTAATTTATAAATAACAGAAATGTATTTCTCACAGTTCTGGGGCTGAGAAGTCCAAAGTCAAGGCAGCCGAGATTTGGTGGTTGGTCAGGGCTGCTCTCTGCTCCGAAGATGGCACCTTCTTGCTTTGTCTTCACTTGACAAAAGTGGGCAAAAACGGACAATGTAAGGACATGGCAGAAGAGACTGAGGAGCCAGGCATTCCTCTAAAGCCTCTTTTATAAGAGCATGTATCTCATTCGTGAGGGTGGATTCTTCTTCACTTAATCACGTAACCAAAAGCCCCATCTCTTAATACCATTATCCTGGGATTTTAGTTTCAACATACAACCTTTGGATGGACACACGGGTTCAAATCATAGCACCCTCCAAATTATAATGCCTCTCTCATGCCTGTTCTCCTTGAAGTACCCTCCAGTTTTGTTCTCTTCATTTCAGCCATCACAGTTAACCCTTCAGTTCCATGTTTTAAATTGATCTCTACATTTTTAAGATGGTTCCTTTTTTTTTTTTTTTTGTATATAGCAGACTCTCAAACGTATTTGTCATATGAACCAAGTAGGTAAATATGTAAATGCCTGTTAAATTTTAGTGAATGATATAATGGCCTAAAGATTTATCTACTCTTCAGCCAAATATATTTGCTGTTAGTAGGAATCTCCTGCCATATACAAAGTCGTGACTCTAGGGGTGAACGTTTTAGCCCGTGGGTAGGTGTAAAGCAGTGGTACGTTACCGTGACAGCTCACAGTCATAGTGCTGGCGCACGCTCCTCTGCTTCAGATTGAATCAGCAAAATATATTCGATTTTGTGAGATTTAAATGTATGCTCCTGTTATTAAAATAAACGTATGGGAAAACTTTAAGGAGCAGATTCAATAGAAACGTTTTCCTGAGTTATCTGCCTTCTTTATTCTTATGTTATGTTTTAAGTCTATGGTCAATGTATAGAGCTACGATTTATGTGCTTTGTTCAATTCTGTTCAGAACAGACAGGTTGATTTCCTCCTTTTAGAATCTTCTTGAATTTTGTCTAATATTTTTGTTCCAATTTATTAGTAGATCATACTCCCCTAACACTGCTTTATGATTACTTATACACAAACAATATTATGATATTTACAAATTGAATTCATTTTAGGAGATGATTTTGGTCATGAACATGAGCAGGTTGTAAAGTGTTTCAGCCATCCCAGGGCATGGCTGTCGGTCCCTTGTCCATTGTTTCAAAAAAATCTTGAATTTGTGATGATGCTGTGATGGTCCCTCAGATATTCTTACACACGTCTTTGCCCCTTGTTCCCTCTAACTTCCCTTTTCGGATAAAAAAGCAAACGCTGCCAAGCTCAAATTGAATTACATTTGGATGCAAGTGTCACTATGCGATGGTTGCCAATGAAAGTACCAAAGGAATTTTATCATGGTGAATTAAAGGCAAATAGACTCAGAGAAATGAGCATGAGCATGAAAATGGCGCATGATACACAGATCTCACTGGACAGTCATTCAGTTCACAATATTTTCACTAGAAAAACCCATTAGCTTTAGCTAAAAATTGAAATTACTTTATAGGAAATCAGAATGAAATACGTGAAAACATTATATTCTGTGCAAGATTAACACCAAGAATGGTGTTGAAAGGCTTGTGGTCTTGCTTTTGACGATGCTAAAAGGTCAGAAACCACAAAGATGCATGTGTGCTGTCATTTGCACAGTTACTAATTTTTCTCGTTATTTCCATAATGAGATGCACTGTTTCAACAGAGAAACCCTCCTGAGAGTTGCTTTTAGTGTTTTCAGGCAGGCAGCGCTTTTGCTTTCATGTTTTGGCCTTGGCCAAGGAGTTCAGACGGACTTTTCATTTATTTTCGGCAAGAATGTATTCATTTATTGCTTTAAATAATAATAAATAGATTTTAAAATTACTGCACATTTCTGCAGTAAGCTCCATGAGGTCAAGGACTATATCAAGTTTGGACATAATTGTATACCCTACATCTTGTGCAAGGTTTAGAAAAAGTGGCATGGACACCTATTTTTTGAATCAATAAATGAATACATAAAAGAAGTTAATAATGTGTTAAAATGCATAAAATTCATTGACAAAACCACTCTTATTTAGGAGCTTATTCTTTAGTTGGAGAGATAAAATATATGCACATAAAAGCTTAAGGAAAAATAATACGTGTTTTGAAGTACTTGGTATGTGAAAAAATTAGCATAAACCTTATATCCATGATATTATTATGCCAGGATCAATAAATATTTTAAGTAGGAAGAAAAATATAATTATATATCTTTGTGTTCAATAGGAATAGTAGTATTTATAAAGTAGAAGTTTGTTACACCTTATTCATAGTCTTTTAAAGTTGTTTATAAAGAAAATCTAATCTTAATTAGTTAACTAATGGTTGATATTAATTTAGGTGCTTTAAAATTGCTCACTTGTGAATAAATTCCCCTTTCTTTTGATCCCTGAATTGCCTTGTACATATGGAGAAATAAAGCTTGCCTAGAATAATTTCTTGAGTGGAGAATGAATGATCTGGATAGATTTGCTGGCAATAAATGTGTCTGTACTTATTTTATTAATTCTTTCATCTTCATGAAGAAAAATATAAAAGTCATATTCTAGTATTTTATACCATGGAAAAAAATTCTTATCGTTTTCCTAAGGAAAAATACACCATGACATAAAAGTAAAGTTAATTAAATTACTTACTTTATTAATTAACTGTCTATTATTTCTATGGGTTGAAGTGAATTTGACATTCAATGCTATTTAATTCTAAAAGCTTGAATGAGTAATGATGTTTTCATGTAAGGTTAGTTGAAATAAATTATCATTGATTTTTAAATTTAATATTAATTAGCTATTGCATATTCTTAATGGGAAACAAGTGTTTACAAGGCCTTGACTGCAAAAAGACCATGCCCATTGTAGACTTCTTAGAATACATCATATCTGCCCTCTTTTTTAGAGTGGGGAATTCAACTCATATGTGGCTGGACGTTGATTCTCAACATTTTGAACGTTATTTGCCTGTCTTAACTCATACTGGTTGATTTTTTTTTTATAAGTAATCTCCATGTTTAGCATGCACTTGAACTATTGTTACATAGGGTGCTTGACTATTTACAAGTCTCACTAGGATTCTAGGTATTCATTAGTCTCTTGATGTGTATTTGCTGATAGTCCTATTATCTTTGTTGGTTCAATGACACAGTACCATCCAAGATGCTACAACACATTATACACAGGGTATGGGTTTTGAGGGCTACAGTTTTCGGTTAGTATTCAGGCTCAGAAACTTAGAATCCCTGCGAACTTGAACAAGTTCCTTAGTCTTGTTTTAAGACCTTCTTGTTTTAAAAGTTAGTCTCAGATTCTTTAAATACACAGTAGGGATGCTAGTAGTGCTCACAGAATTGTAGTAAAGATTAGCTGGGAAAAAAGAGACTATTAAACAGAGCCTGGTGTTCAGTAAGTATCAGTTGCCTTCGATTAGGAATCTGTGTTGTCATGATTAGAAGATTGCTGGTTTATGTTACAGATCTGTAAGTATCGTCAAAATATGTCAAAATAACAACCAGACAGAATCCTATACCATTCCTTGAACATTTCATCCCAGAATCTAGCCAAATTAGCATCTCCATACAGACAATACTGTTAACACAGATATGTGCTCAAACCCCTCCTTCACTTTTCTGCGCTTGTAAATTACTGGAGCTATTTAGGAAGAAGTCTGGGGTGATGGCTCGGTTAAGCTGAGTAGCCAATTATGTCTGTGATCTAGGAGGTGTTAGTGCTAGAGGGGCGCAGACGGTCGCCTCCTCCAGCTCGTTTCTGCAGTGGCCGCACCAGGCACATCCTAGCTCTGCTCCGGGAAGTCCGGTTTCTGGCGAGGGGCTCGTGCGCACCCCTGGCCGGGAGGAGCCTGCAGCCCGCTGGTTAGCACCGCGCAGCTCGCGCCCGGAGGAGGCGGAAGGAGCCCTGCGCCACCGCCAGGAGGAGCGAGCGCGGCGGCTGCAGGCACAGGAGGAAGAGGGAAGACAAGGAAGGACGGCTCCCGGGCGGAGTGGGAGAAATCCGGGAGCAGCCGGAGCAGCAGGTCCGGGGAGCGGTTCCGCGGCGCTGCGCCCGTTACTCGCACGGACGCTGCGGAGCTCCCGGGGCTGCCCAGTGCCCCTGCGGGGAGGCTGCCGTCCGAACCTGACTCCGGGTGAGTTCAGTTCAGCACAGAGGTGAACCCAAGGGTCTCGAACCGGAGACGTGGAACTGGCGAGGCTGCTCCGCTCCCCCAGGCGCTGCTGCCTTTACGTGTCCCACATTCACGGAGGGTTTCCGCGGTGGCTGCACAGGCTGGGGGTGGGCGGATGGGCGGTGGGTGGCAGCGATCCTCACAGCCAGCGTGGGGGCATTCGGATGGCATTAGCTGAAGTGAATGGGGTTTTAGGAGACGTCCCCAAAGGCACGCATTATCTGTGTGTTTCTATACAAGCTTCTAAGACAGGAATTTGGTTTCCCGGATGCCCATTTTGGCCTTCTGGCCTTCCTTTTGCTTGCCTCATGCCCAGTTTTCCAAGCCAAGGAAAGGATTGGAAAGGCGTGGACGGAGAAGGTCTGGGCACAGAATGGGACGGGCCAGCCTTGGTCTCTAAGTTAGGGGGTGGGGCTGGCACTCTTCCTTTCCACCTAATTTACCAGGGAAAACCCTCAGAGTAACTTGAGGTTCCTTCGCTCTGTACCCTCCATAAGCTTATTAAAGGGAACTTCAGGCTCTCTAGACAGCCAGTGAAATGTGGTGGCAATTTAGCTTAAAAGCCATGTTGGTTCACTTCATCTCCTCTTTATCCTTTGTTGCCAAATTGACACCTTTTTGGATTTCTTTAACATAAAGTTTAAGTGGCCGACTGACAGGAAATATTTCTTTTGAAAATTCTGTGAGAAAAGTGATGAGTCAACATTGAGAGAAAGGCAACTTTATTTTCTTGGGAAGAACTTTGGGGAAAGGGATTGATGGAGAAATTCTGGGCATGAAATTATGGACATTTCCCACAGAACTTCTTTCATTTATTTATTTTTTTACATTTGCTTCATTTTTTTTTTTATCTCGTGTGTGTGTGTGTGTGTGTGTGTGTGTGTGTGTGTGTATGTGTGTGTATCAGAGAGACAAAATTCCTTGGAGGTATTATGACTTTATTAGGTTTAGAAGTTTCTTTCTTACTAATAGCACTAATTTGTGATCATCATGATTATAAGAATTAACTAAGTGTTTTGCTTCTCTGTGTTTTGGGTCTTTTTTTTAAAAAAAAGTCAATACTTACTTTGCGGGCCTTACTGAATACCTGTCAATAAAATCGGTGGGCATACGGTTAGTCACATGACCTACTGTGGATTTAATAGCAGGTAAGTATACAAACGATAAGTTTAGGAAATAAATGTCAGAATCCAAATTTAGGTGTGAAATTGAAATATCTTTCAAAATTAACCAAATTCTCTGTTAGGATCCAATGTCATTTTATGGTCAAGGGAGCTTAAAGGTTTCTCAAATTGAGATACATGTATCTACTTGGTTAATCAAAATGTAACATTTTATTTTCTTCTTTCTTTAATAATAGTTTGAATTCAACAAATAAAACTTGCGTATTTAATGTAAGGTTCTTTCACATATATTACTTCTCCAATTTTTAATAGAAATTTAAAGAGAAAAGTGATATTAATTCCACTTTGTAGATGAAGAGGCTGTATCACAGAAGTGTTACTTTACCTCGATTTCTGTAATTATTATGTCACACACTTAGAAGTTGCATGTTATTATGGAACATATAAAATACATGAATGTTATAAAGAATTCAGACCTATGCTGTTTAACTTCAAGGTTAGTTCTTTACCTAAACAACTGCACATTGCACCACAATTGCACTACACTGAGACTACTGAAATAATTATATATGAACATGCTACATGAAAAAATACTGAAAACATTTATTCTTTTTTATTTTATTTCTTATTTTTCTGGTTTCTCTTTGATATAAAATATACTATAATTTTATGGAGTTATTTTCCATATTTAGATGCTCCTAATTTCCAAATAATTCCTAAACTCCTAAAAACTGTCCTGTGTCCTTCTTAATAAAAGTGGATTGACAGGGAGACTCAATTTTTTACTAAGAATATTCTTGGGATAATTTATGTCTTATAATCAAGATAAAGGCAGGCCACATTTAGTTGTATTTTTAAACCACCTAGTGTGAACTTGAAATGCAGACATAACTTGCTTTCAGGCTAAACTGCCAGGCTTCACAGTGAATAGTCTTTAAGATTCCATGGAAACATTGGCAGATATATCTAATGTATAGCTGATGTAGGATTTATGAGAAAAGGAGAGGTAGAAACTGAATGCTCTTACATTTCATATGTGACCACATTCATAACACTTTATTGATAGGTCCTTTGGTGTCTGACATGGGCTGATACAAACAGGCTTCTTCAAGAGTTGAGGAAGAAAACAAAATCCCTGTAATACAGGCTTTTTGCTCCTTTTCTTTCTTAAGTGGTAATAGTTGATCCTACATAAGCTCTTAAAAAAATGAATTCCAAAGACAGTTTGTGAGTTTTTTGGAGGGAGGGTGCTATTGTGTGTGTATGCATGCTCAACACAGGTTAGGGGTATAAGGAGAAGTTAAGCAAGAATATTGAACGCTAGCTGGGAAACTTTTTGGAGTCTCAAATACTTGGAAACAATTTTTTTACATTACATACATAAAATTCATAGTTACATTGGGGAACTAAGTATATTGTAGACAACTTTGCATCTGATTACAGGATTCCTTGTACATTTATAGCTCAGGTATTCTGGAAGGAGTCAAGATAATTAGTTTTATGGCTCTTGCCCATGTGACCTGTTCCTTTCCCGTCCTGACATTAAAAGGATGACTTAAATTTTCTGAAATGTCAAAATTCTCTTTTCCCTCAGATCCTAAAAAAAAATTCAAGCAGTGTATGTGTGATACTCACTGTCATTTCAACATTTCCAAGGTAAAGAATCCTCTTGAGAATGCTAAACAATGCCCTATATTTCTTCCATTGTAATTCTTTCAGATAGAGGGTTAGCTGAGTTAGGAAGAAGGGAGAGAGGGAGATAAGAAGCGAGATGACATTTTATCCCTCAGGAAAGAACAAGACCAATTGTATTCCTAATTTAGAAATATTACCCTACAAACATTCCTGAGCGAGAGGGCTTTGCACATACATTAAAGCAGAATATCTCGTCAACTTCTAGTTGTGCCATGTAGTGAGTTGGAAATAAGGTGAGCAAGCCGAGATCATTTTTGTTGGAGAACTATGAGACCATATGAAATAGGTAACAGAGTTACCCCAGCTGGGGGCTAGAGGACTTGGAAGTTTCCTCCATAAATTTGCATTGTTAGTACAGGGTTGTTCCAGTGATCAGAGTCGTTAAAGCTCTAGAGTTTCTGTATAACTGTGTATACAGGCTGAGACAGCTCTGATGGCCCAGAAAAGCCTTTGGACAGAATCACTGGACATTGTCCGACCACATGTATGAGAATAGTGAGTGCCAAGGAGTTGTGGGTAGCTCGGTGACAACTCTTGCTGAAGGAGTGTCATCAACATTCATTGCTGAAAGTGAATTTTTTATTCATGTGTGTGATGCCTATTAGGTCATGCTTTCTTGGATACAAATTTGTAGAATATACGAATTAATTTTTGAACATCCTTTCTTAAAAGTACCATGTTCATGTAGTTGCTCATCTTAATATGAGTAGTTCAGATGGGACATAATATATTAGGGAGATGATTGAACATCCTAAAATCTAGTGTACATACCTTTGTTCATTATGAGATTCATCCCCTGTCTCCCTTTGCAGTGACATTAATGGCATAAGGGAGTATTAGATGAAATTTAATGCAGAAAAATATGGAGATATATGAATGGTAGATACGGCTGACAACCACCATTTTCGCTGAAGTTGTTTCAAAGCAAATAAATTTGGGATAAATTCATTTTATTTGCTCCTGAAGGGTAATTAAGAATAGGTAGGAAATGTGAAGAGGCTATAGCATTGACATTAAGAGAAGTTTTTGATTCTTAAAATAAGATATATTACACAGGAGTGAACAAACAGAAGATACTGAACAAATATTTTGTCATAAGTAAGTGAAGGATTATTCTGACTTGTTGAACTATGTTTTTAAATGTAAATTTCAACATTTAAATATTATTAAAACCTTAAATAATATTTAAATATTATAAAAGTTATAGAAAATTATATTTTCAATGCAAATATACACTTATAAGCTATATTGTAGATATGGGAGTAAACAATCCAATTACTTTTTTACTGAGTGAAAATTTAGTTGTGTTTTTTTTTTTTTTTTGAAACGGAGTCTGGCTCTGTCCCCCAGGCTGGAGTGCAGTGGCCGGATCTCAGCTCACTGCAAACTCCACCTCCCGGGTTTACGCCATTCTCCTGCCTCAGCCTCCCAAGTAGCTGGGACCACAGGCATCCGCCACATCCCCCGGCTAGTTTTTTGTATTTTTTTTAGTAGAGACGGGGTTTCACCGTGTTAGCCAGGATGGTCTCGATCTCCTGACCTCGTGATCCGCCCATCTTGGTCTCCCAAAGTGCTGGGATTACAGGCTTGAGCCACCGCGCCCGGCCGAAAATTTAGTTTTTTAAAATTCTAACTGGAGCTAAGAGTTCAGTGTGATATATATTTTGAGTTTCAAAATTTGCAACCAAATAGGATAAATATGTTGAACTGTACTTTTCTTGAAGAACTGTGATAAGAATGAGCAGTGAAAAAATTATAGCATACTTACCAGGGATCAAATACTTGCTTAGGGTTTAATAAGAAAAATCTCAGCTAATGCTAGAAATTGTGTACAGGATCTATCACAGACCCATGATTAAAATGGTCTCTTGTTAGCTATATGAGCTTGAAAACAAATGGTATAGCTTCTCTTTACTTCAATTGCTTCTTTTGTAAAATGGGGAGACCAGGAGAATGTAACTCAAAATTCTTTGTTAATGATTTGCTTCTTAGAGCAGTGCCAGATCCAATTAGGATTAGATTGTTATTTTTATTATTGATATTTGCCCTAGTTCTGCCTTTTATTGACTGTGTGAAATTGGTGAAGATTCCTTTCTGAAGCCTTGTTTCTTATCTACAAACTGGGAATAGAATGCCTGCTAT